CGAGCACAGCCCTGCACCCCCCAGTCTGCCGGCTCATCCCTGCTGACCTCAGGGCGGACGGGCCTCATCCTCATCCTCCAAACTTCCCGACTTCCCGACTCCGGGGTGTGGGACTCTGAGTCTAGGAGGAAGCAGCTGCTGCTGGCAGCTCGGAGCTTTTGTAGGGGTCACCCCACCCAGTCTGGGGGCGGGCTGAGGGGTGGGCCCTGGGTCGGAGGGCTGGGCCAAACTCTCCCGCAGAGCCACCTCACCACCCCCAGCAAAGTGCCCTCAGCAGGGGGTGGGGCCTGGGCCGGAAGTGCCCCCCCACCCCCCCCAGTCAGCACGAGGGCAGGGCTTTGTGGCTTTATTTGGGCTGGGGTGGGGGTGGGGGTGGAGGCAGTGCAGGGGGTAGGCCTGTGTGGTACTGGCATCTGGGCATCTTGGGGCTGATACCCAGGGAGGTACTTGCCCCCCACATGGCTGCAGGAGGACATTTGGGGCCCTGGGCACTTTCGCCTTTGTGGGTGGGCCCCTTCCTAAAAAATATTTTTGTTCTTTTTTTTAAAAAAATATTTTTATTGATTTTAGAGAAGAAGGGGGAGCGATAGAAACATCAGTGATGAGAGACAATCATTGATCGGCTGCCTCCTGCACGCCCCCTACTGGGGATCGAGCCCACTACCTGGTCATGTTCCCTGACTGGGAATCCAACCATGACCTCCTGGTTCACAGGTCTATATTCAACCGCTGAGCCATGCTGGCTGGGCAAAAAAAAATTTTTAATATTTCATTTATTGATTTTAGAGAGAGAGGAAAGGAGAGAGACATCGACGTGTTGTTCTACTTATTTATGCATTCATTGGTTGATTCTTTTATGCGCCCTGGCTGGGGATTGAATAAAAAATTTAAAAAATATATATTTTACAAGTATGTTGGTATAAAGACAAACACACTCTAGGCTGAATCCATTCCATATTCATTATTTATCTATCTTTCTTCTATTAAAAAATTAAACATTTATGGGCCTCTAAAGTCCTGTGGTCTAGGCCCCTGCCTAGCTTTAGGGACCTGTGTCTGCAAGGCACTGTGTTCATGAAGTCAGGGCTGAGCTGTCACACCTTTTGTCATTTGCTGGGTCAGCGGCTGTGTCCGTGAAGCCCCAGCTAGTGGCCGTCGGGGCCTCAGCACAAACCAGCAGAGTGTGTGTGTGTGTGTGTGAGTGTGGGACCTGTTGTCTTGTGACTGTGAGGCCTGTCGGGTGACCACACGCCTGTTCATTCCTTATGATTCCACTTGTTGGCTGATTCAGAAACTAGTGACTGACACCTCCTGGGTGCGCAGGCCCAGGCTTGCCTGCCAGGGCGGTGGAGGAACCAGCAGGTCCCTGGCTCAGGTTCAAGTGCTGCCTGGGTCTGCAGCCTGGACTGAGCCTGAGCCAGTGGCATGGTGGCCACCAGAGCAGTGGCACAGCTGGCTGCCACCTGGGCTGGGTCCTCCAGGATGGCAGGGCTGAAGGAGAGGAGGGTCCAGGGTGCTGTGGGCACGTCAGCTGCAAGCCGAGCACAGGATCTGGCCAGACGTGGTGGCTGCTGAGCCTGTTCGGAAAGCTGGGTCCCAGAGCGATGAGCATCAGGCCCAGGGCAGCCTGGACCCCTCGCCCTGAGGCTCCGTGCTGCCTCCTGCTGCCCCCGGAGAACTAGCGCTGCGCTTGGCACAATCAGCCAACCAGCAGACGAGCACTCTGGCTGACTCGGAGCAAGGGAGAAGCTCCCAGGGAACAGCAGGAAGCAGCGGGGTGCCTGCGGCCCCGCCCCGCCCCAGGGCCCCACCCACAGCTGGCTTCTGCAGGGTGGGTCTGGTCCAAGTGATGTGTGTCTGGGGTCCGAGGAATAGAGTGAGGAAGTAAAATGGAGTCGCTATAGTCAAGCTGTTAAATACCACCATCAAGTAGGTTGAGCCGTGAGGGAGGACTGCTTTCTGTCTTACCTGGCCTGCGACCTTAAGGTTTTGAACTTTCCTGTCCTGCATCAAGGCCTAGATCTACCTCAGAGCCCCAGATGACCCTCTGCTTACCCCCCGAAGGACTCCCATCCCCGGAGCACCAGACGTGAACTAACCTTGCTGTCCACTGTCCAGGCCTCACATCTGATAACCATCTCAGGCCAACCCAGAGGCTCAGGATGTAGAACTGATTCTTCTTAAGAAATGTACTTCTTAAGCTGCTCACAGGTGAGCCAGCTTCCAGGTCCAGACCTGCCTGCTCTCTTCGCTGGGCACACCTCAGGCCTGGTCACCTCACTCCCCACCCTGCCACCTGGCCGTCTCCTGGCTGCACTTTCTCCAGGTGTCGTCCGGGTCCCCCTGGGGGTGATGGGAGGTGCTCACAGGTCTGTATGGAGGGGTCAGAGTGTGTAAGGGAGGTCACACGGGTGGGGGACCAGAGCTTCGCATGTAGGGGGCTATGTGTATGCGGACGTCATAGCTACATAGGTAGGAAAGTCCCAGCCGCATGGGAGGGGTCATAGGTGTGCCTGTGTCACCGGGGTTGGGAGGTTGATGTGAGTTGGATTACATCTGTGCGGGGCGGTCACAGGTGCCCTCTCTCTGCTGGCTCCATCATCTCATGGTCTCATTGACCAACGCCCGAATCTTCTCTCTAGCAGGTGTGTCCCCACCGCCGCCAGGAGCTCCGGGAACCCTTTCACCTCGGGACCCTCCTCCACCAGGGCTCTGACACTGCCCTCCCAGGGCGACCACAGCCCCTCTCTCTGTTCTCTGCCATCACCAGGCGGAGGGACAAGGATGGCTTGAGAGCCTGAGTGGACACTGACTCAGTGGCACTTGCTTTCGCAGGCTCTGCTCCCCTAACCACGCCCCCCTCCCTCCCCCGCTTCTCTGGGGAGCGCTCTCCTGGTTCTTCATGTCCAGTGTGCACCTCCCTCTATGCTGCCATCCGCACAGGGACAGGGAGCGGTCTCCATGGTGATTCCCGGCCGCATCCCTCGCAGCTGGCCCGGCGCTGGCAGGTGCGTGTGCTGTTTACGGAGCAAGGAGACGGGCACCACCCTCGCAGCCAGGCTGTGCGGCTCCGGGTGGCCCGCCTGCCTCTGCTGATAGAGGCCTGGCCACATCCCGCCCCGTGCTGGCATCCCCGCGGCGTTCAGCTTCCACCACCTTTGCCCCTGCTCCGTTCCTGGCGCTGAGTCATCGTGACTAGGACAGGGGCACCGGGTGCGGGTGGGGTGGCTGAGGCCCGGGGGACCCACCCAGGGAACTCCCTTCGGGGGCAGGAAGTGGCGCAGGGCAGAGCAGGTCTGACTGCTCCAACGGCTCCTGCTCTCCCGGGGCAGAACAGGGCTGACCTGGAGGATGTCTGCTCCCAGGCCCTGGGTACCCCCCTTGCCCCATCAGGCGACTGCAGTGCGACAGGGACGGGACTTCAGAATCCAGACCCCCATCCCTTCTCGCCTCCTCCGACCATACCCGGTGGAGGACGGTGTGAGGGGTGAGGGGTGTGGCTGGAGTCCACTGCCCGGGAGCTGTGGGAACGGAGGGAGAGGTGGTCTGGTTACTTGCCCAGCTGGGGAACATCAAACATCCACTCCCGTCTCTCCCTGGGTGGGCAGGCGAGGCAGCCGGCACCAGCCCAGCTGGGATGCAGGGCCAGAAGCAGCGAGTCGTCCCTCACAGGAGGTTGGGCTCCACTGCATTCCAGTCAATCCGGAGAAAGCAAGGCTCTGAGCATGGGGGATGGGGG